CTCTTTGGCGACATTGACATGATTGTCGAAAATAAGTATAGATCAATATCCCACATACATGTGTAATGTGTATCTATTTCTTTGATTATGAAAACATCTAATATTAGGTCGAAATTGAAGCTGAACTATCGGTAAATAATTTCTGGAATATAATTTTCATCCCTCATAACAAATAGAGTTTAGACGGCGGCGTTGTGGGATGAAATGATATGACAGATTTACTGTATTACCTAGAGCTCGCATCTGTGCCTTTATTGCTATAAACTATAATAATAATACATCCCCCATGCTGACAAACTCGTGGGTGGTATAATAGGACCTAGTCTCCATGGTCTACCTAGTTAGACCCGATTATCAAGTAAGATATCGATTGATATTTCTATAAACGTAAACTTAATTGGATAATTGCTAATGCATTGTCGATTGCCCTGTAGTTTACAATTGTGATTTAGCTGCAGTTTTTCAAGGATACATAGGTAATTCATTTTATGAGAGGTTATAACTAAGTATCCACTTAGTAAGTATTGTTGTGAGATCACTTAGTACGTTATTTTTTATTGATATCCATTTGAATATCATATCAAAGAAAATTAAAAAAAAATACAATAATAGTCTTCAAGTTCAATTTAATAAGTTTGATCTATCATCATCAGAGTACTTTAGACCAAGGTACTTGTTTAACTGTCTGCTATCGAACCACGCACACGTTCCTTGTTCCTACATCGCGAACCTACATGTTCAGCTGTAAGCCACTGATAAGAAGCAGCCGTAAATCTGAGTTAAGTCTTGATACATTCAACTGTTCCTATCTACCGTTGTCACAAGCCAACATTCCCGTTTTACATGTTCCTACACGGAAAATCAATATGAGCTTACCCAGGCAGAACTGGCCGTTTATCTGACCGCGTTTCGAACCACAAATCACTCATGCAAATGACTATTTTTTATTCACGAGTTGCCCGGTTAGCGGCCTACTGTGCCCGCGGCGAACAATTGATTTTGAATTAAAATTAAAGAAACGAATATTCATAGCCATGATTATCTTGTTTGTATCAATGTTACAAAGTAAGGTATCAATACCGTTAATTATGAATGGGAACGGTGTAAATACGATTTGTCATTGATGCCCATTAAATTTAAATTGTCGAGAAAGTGCACAAACGTTGCTCTCTGCAACAACGTAATGTATTGCCTTTCATTTGAAAACGAAGAACAGTTTCTCCTGTCGTTCCGCGTATGATAAAGTTACGCGGTCTCTCATTACCGCAGATATCATTAACTTGGTATTATTACTCGTGGCGTTTGTAGAGCAAAACCGCGCGATGCAGAGGCGTAAACCCATTAACCGGACAACTACTTTTGATATCGTACACCGTACAGGCGTGCAGTGCGCACCCTGGCCTACTGCTCCCCACGCGCAGCCTGCGCTCCGTGTAACTAGCCACTCGCCACGTTATCACGCCATCTCACATCCATGTCAGGTATTACACGACTACAGCAATAATTGCCAATATTCTATAGTTGAAATTACCCGATCTTATTATGTTAAGTGCATCCGTGTTTAACGCACCTTAGCACGTCGGTGATCCTATTCAAGATAAAGTTATTGTAACGCAGCCACGATCTTGTTTCAAGTTTCTACAAGCTTTTAGTGCGGAGGAAAGGAATTTTTGTACATCTTTCGGGTTTATGGGATTTATTATTGTCTTCCGGTCACAGTTTTCACCATCATTCCCCCTTTGACAGCTGTTTATTTTAGTAACTGTACTCTGTCAGGCGCCATGTTTCTTTTCGTTGCGTGTGGCGTAAGCGCAGCCCCGCCACGTATATCACAATTAAACAATTTACTCTCACGCACTTTCTTCCCGTGGTTAATTATAGACGTGGCGAGATGCTAGGTTTGTTTTAAATATTTATAATTATAAACATGTGTTTACTTTGTCTCGTACCTGTCTTTGACTGTTATTAACGGGCGTGCGTTGTGCGTGCATGAACACGACGCGCTATGCAGATTGTATTCAATAAGAATCTGTTATCGTCGGTGCAGGGCGTGGAGTAGATTGCTCGGGTAGTGATGACGAGTAATCTACGCAATTTAACTTGGCGCCTTCGGGCCGCACGCGCTCCATACGTCGCCCTTCGGGCCAAACACAGGGCTAATATACAAGATAATATAAAGGTGTTGCTACATAAAGATTAAATCGCAGTCGTAGAATATATTTTATGCGTTTTGTAGCAATAGTTAAGACTCAATAAGTACGTGGGCGTTGGCATGAAAGAGATTCGCGTGGTCTGCGAACAATACCACTGATATATGTCTCCTTCACTCGCTCGTTTATAATAAGAGAGAGGTCATAATAATGTTGATAGATATACTGCTTCTAAATAATTTAATTTTCTCTATTCTGTGCTTCTGTTTGTGTATATCTGCATTGTACGCCTCCACGAGTGGCAGTGGAGCCACCAATTACATTTCTATGAATTTTCACATCGTCAAAATAGAGATAGCATTTGTTGTTGCATTCTGTATTATGTTAATATAATGCAACTGTACATCTTTGAATTTCAACAACGAGTGAGTGCGCACCTTAACATTTCCATGTCTTGAACATGTGGTAACATTGTGAGCAGCCTGTGTTTAGGACGGAGTGGTGTCCGGCCACTGTATCGGCGGTTTACGACCAGACATGGTGCTATGGCCTATTATTCTCCAACTTAATGTCTCATCGACTGCTCGCCCTATAGTTATTATAATGGGAAAGCTATGTAGGGCGTGACTACACTCTTGTTCTCTAACAGTGGTGATAAAGAAAGCAGTGTTTTGTTTTAAGAGCTTTACCGTGAGCGCTGTTACAATGACTAACGTCTTGTTTAATGTGTAACTGACAAGCATCATTGTTCACTAAATGGTGACATTTCTTTCAAGTCACGTTGTGAAGATATAAAGTACTTTAACTTACATCAAAAGGCTATGCTTACAGAAATAGTCACATATTGATTTGTGGCCACATTTGTTTACACTACTTTGAAGTTTGATCATCTTGATCAGTAACTGTTTTCTATAAACGTTCAACAACAACGGCTTCTTTATCTTGTTATGGCATAAGCATCATTAGATCGCATTTATACATTTTCAACCATGATCGTAGAAAAAAAATTCACGGCTCGTGGGAGAATTGTAATGAAAATACTAGGGCAAGTTCTAACAGTAACCACAGTGGCGGCACTATCCATCCTCCATCTTTGCACAGGTAGTGTGGTACCTCGTCATTGTTAAGGCAAGGAAGTGTGACCGGACACAACGGCGGCGCGCTATCGATTCATTTATCTGCATAGATTGTACCATTTGTATCATGTCGATACTATTATGTTTAGATTGTGTTTGTAATGATAGGGGGAAGTTGTTCCTTGTTTTACGTTGTGTTTGTTTGTCTTTTGTTTATGGCTTTTATTCAACGAAGTGGATTACTTTGTTAAGGAGGCTGACTTTTGTCCTATTCAGAAATCACACTCCATAACTCCATGTTCATCATTTGCACTTCAGATCTTTATACCAATGAGTCCGTTTGTTAATTATGTCTTTTGATTTTTTAATACAGGAAGATTGAAGATATGCATCCTCAATCAATTACATTATCTTTTTTAATATTACGATAAACCTTACTTCATTTCTATCTTATTTTCCAGATATCCTATAACTTTAAGATATTAAAATATCTATGAAAATATTAGAATTACCGCTGGTAACTTTATCCGCATTGGTTTAAAACTTGCTTTAATCAAGCAACGTAACTGCTAACTGCTTGACAATCACAGGGCTACTTGCATCGTCTATGGTGGCTTCCACTCTATGCTCCCGCGATCTCGAGCCCCGATAACATCCACCTCATAAAAGCAAGTATTTGCTCTGTCTACCCGGCCGTTATCTAACCATCTTGTTGCATTAACTACGCCGATTTGCCAGCCAACTTAAACTGTTATGACAGAGCCGGCCTCGGTTTACGCGGATGCCTTGTAATTGAATATTTTCTACCCATTCTCCTGTTTGTAATGGCTCTGATGCACTTAAATAAGGAGTCTGAAGTTGGAAGCTGTTTATCAATTTACTTTATGGTCGATTGTTTCGCATCGTTGTTGGAGGTTAGCTACGCTTTCTGTGACCTCCATTGAAATGTACGAGAGGTAGATTCCTCGTAATTAAAACTTCTTCATAATGTGAAATTAATTTCACAGAATATACAGTTAATGAGACCTGCTTTGCGAAAATGCAGCTCAATAAAAGAATTATATTATTTTATAAAATGAAAGTAAAAGTTAAATATGGCTGTATTATTATGTCGCCTCAGAATTTGTTGTCTGCTTGAGCTCATAAAATGCCTTTTTTATTGTTTATTAAGTTTAAGCAACTATTGAATCTGAATTGTTTTAAAATCTGTTTCCTTTTTATACTGCACTTTTAAGTGCATGTAAAACGCTTCTCTCAAATTCTGGAGATGATTAATATTTCATGTAACTATTACTTTTTCCATATGAAAGATTTTGAAATTGAAAATATGATCCCCAAACAAACATGATATTTACGTAAAGCGGCAACCCCCTCAGTTCAAATTACGATTTGATCAGGAAATGAAAGTGTTCCCTCGAAGCCGGAAGTGGTCCCCTCACCCACTGGTCAGGTAGGGATGTCCTACGTGCCGTGTCCAGTTGCATGTCATTACAAGTATTAAATGTTAATGCATTCGTGTATCGAATTTCGATTTGGTTACCGATTGGCTTTGAAGCTGAGGGTTGATATTATTAAGGGGTGAAAAATGGATTAAATATTTATGGGTTATAAAAACGTAAATCGTATATTGAATCATAAACCTTCAGATGTGTCGTTTTTGTTATTTTTTAATCGGTTAATAGATCGAGGTCAGACAGAATTTAGAACCGTGTTCGCGTGAAAAAGGTTGTGCTTTTTGCAACTAGAGATTAACCGTCTCTTTATTTGTTGACAGGGTGCCGAACGCGCCCAAGAGCTGCATTGCGGAGATCTTCAACGCGGATCAGACTGATGGCAGCCCAGTGAAGAATGGTGCCGCTAAACCTCGCGTGGTGCGCGACACGCCCACTCGCCCCCGAGACACGCACTCCAGGCTCTTCGGACAGGTGCGTCAAACACAAGTACGCATATCCAGGTTTTCTTTTACGTTATTAATCTTTTTTTTTGTGGTGCTTAGTTTCTCGCAGAGGAATATAGTCCGCTCCTATGCGAGGATTATTTTGGTTGGTTGTTGCTGTACTTAGAAGTATTTTGAGAGTTGTATTGTAGTCATGTGTATGTTTGCAATATTTTTTGGTGCATATTTTTACCTACTTCCCCTAGATTCTGTTACAAATCGGCAAAATATGGTGACACAAATGAGTACTTAATCCTACAAATTTGATTTTATCTATTAATGAAGATCAGTTTTAAAATGGTTCATGCATGGAGCACGTGATTTTGACAAAGCCATTTTATTCTGGTCTTTTATTGAGATCAAATAACACAGTGGTCGGTCTTTAATTCATCGAACAAATTGTAATATACACTAGTATTATAATCGCCTAGAAAAGTATTGCCTTGGTACATTGGATTTTAATATTCACAAGTACCTAGCTACTTTTTTCTTGTGTTAAATGTATCGAGCACCTTGTCGGCAACCTTACATGTAACAAGCTGGTATTATAGTACACAACACGGTAGCATAACATTAATTAAAAGATGATTACTTTAGCTGGATGCAATTCCCTATAAAAGCGTCACAACACCCACGGCGAATGACGGGGTGGTCTAATGACGCGTCAATTACTTGAACGGTAAAAGTAAATCGATATCAAAGTGCTATCGTAGACGTATTACATCCTGTGACGACACATCTAGGGATGCGCCTTGCTTCTGATTTTTTATTACAGGTGGCAACGTTCCATTGAATTTGGATAAATAAATATTTTAGTAGAAAATATCTTAACTACTCGTAGCAAATATTTTATAATACTAAAATAGTACATTTGCTTTTAATCAACTTTATTTCAGATTTTTTAATCGCAATGCAACTAATACATCTGTCCAAAATGTTCCAGGGTGTAAACAACCCAGTATCTCCGATGGTGACTGACACGATCCGCAGTCACATTCAGTTTGGCGACTCTGAGATGAACGGTTCAAGCCCCACACACTCTCCTTCGAAGATGGGCAACGGTAGCGCGACCTCTACACCCAGCCGAGGTGAGATGGGCCTCGGTGGACACTGTGAGTCGATATCGATGTAGGCACGAACCGAGCACGGCTAGTAACGCTCACGGAAACGACACGGATCCGAGACTACTTGTACCAGTCATCAAACTATTGCAGACTGTCTAAATTCTTTAATACATTCTCAATTAGTCATAGGATTGAGAAAATATCAAAGAAGTTTGATAGATCAGTAGTTTGATGTACTGCCGGCTGTATAATAGCAGGAATGGAATGGATACCAATTAAGACATGACCAAAAAGTATCTGTTAAGCGCAGTAACAGTTTTAATTGCACATACTTAGTTGTAAGTTAATAACGTCTTTGTGAACTTTCTGTATAATTTTACGGTCGTTAATTGTCCGATGCTATGTTTGTCTTAAGTCTAAAGCCTATACGCGTCCATTAAAATAATTGGACAGCAATCAATTGAATCGGACCGGAAAGTCATTCGGAATAATGTTTCGTGTTAGTTTACAAATGTAAATCTATGCGATTAGTGAATAAAACTATCCAAGTATCCATTCCATATTCTGAATGTGTGAGATCGTTCACAGAAACTGCGCCATATTGGTTTTTGTGAACATTTTGCGACTCTGCGTGCGATTTTCTCGGATCGTGTTCAATTCCAATCATTTGGCACTCGTGCACGCTAGGAAGAAAACGCTTCTTACTACTATGTACTATGTATTTCAATACAAAGACGCTCTGATTCCCTTCTTCACTTCTACTCACGATTAATGTCTACAAGAATTTCAATTAATACGACTCATACATTGTAATAATCATTACGAACAACCATTACGATATAACAAATTAAAACAAACGAGCCGTGCTTTGCTTAGAATGAAGCATGATTACACAATAATTCTAAACTGAATGATTTAATCCAGAAATAATCGTACAACAATATTAATTGTATAACAGAACATTACTTACAATAACAATTAACTATAGTGTGTGTTATTGCACGTGAACCAAGGATAATAATTATATTTAAGCGTTAGAGGTATACGTTAAGCGTTATAGTGCCTCACCAGAACTTGATCAAAGTTAGGGCGCCACTAGTGTGGTAGATCGAATGAAAACCAATTGTTCTGTAAATGGTAGCAACGTACGGTCCACCGAGGAGGAATCCAGTGACAGGCGATGGAGTAGCCGTGCCGCCGCAGCGCCGCCGCCACCCCGCCGCCAGCCTGCGAGGTGCCGACCCCGACGATCCGAACACTCAGCTCCTACACCCACAACCCACTCACAGATACTTCACTCGTGACTGGCCCCCGAAACCCGCTAACTACTACGTAGAGTCCACCATGAAACCCAGTCTCACCACAAGAATAACCCCATACACACTCCTCGGCTTGGCAACTGATGATCCAGAAGTTGAACATCCTGTTATTGACCCAGATTCTTTGTCACCTCAACTTGTTCTCAACCGCCACTGGCCTCCATTCCCAGCTCAGCACTATTTGGAGCCAAAGGAGCATAAGATCCCATACCATCCCCTGCCACCTTACGCATTTGTTGGAATGCATTCCGCTTTAGGTGAAAGACCTGCTCTTGATTACAAGTACGATCCAATTCCAACCTTGGATGGGCCCATAGATCCATATTTGATAGCCAATACTGATCCCCCACCGACGCTGTTTAAATACGAGCGTGACGGGCCTATTCCCGACGTGATCCCCCTGCAGACTGCCCTAGTCCCCGGGCCGCACACTCTAACCGGTTTCCCACCTATATTCCACAAACACGTTCCTGGATACCTTTTTGATCGCAATCGGCATGCAGAGGACTTCCGACCTAAGACGTACTATGTAGACTATGTCCGCCGAAGAGAAATGGGTGGGTGCTCAGTTTACACTGGAGGAATGCTGTTGTTTTCGCACCAATTACTCTGATGAAATTTGTCAACCACACGAGAGCGTCGGAGGGAGCTTACCACTTTTAATTTGCTGTACATACATACAAAAGGACCGAAGAACGATACCTTGGTGTTAATAAATTGAGCACCCATTGCCGTTTTATAATTTGCTCATACTAGGGTTTAGTTTGACCGTTTCTTCTTAGTGAAGCAGTGTAGGCTTGTGATGTCCAATAGCGCTTATTTTATCGTCTCCTGCTTGTAAGTTGTAATGTTGTCGAGTATTCGTTGTTGTGTTGTGTAAAGTTGTGTAAATACGTGCTCAATTCAGTTTGACTTCCTCTTACGCACGTCGCCTCTTTCTTCTTTCTATTAATTGTAGGTTTAGCTTTATTTCAATAGGTACTTTGGCTTTATAAATAATTATGTAGGTAATGTTGACATCTTCTATTAGCTTTATCAATTGTATCTTTGACTGCTGTATTATAAACTATATTATTATAAATTGTTATTTTTAGTACTTAGGTCTTTAATACAATTTGTAGTTAGGGTTATTTCAACTCACGTATTTTCTGCATGGTGAAAATTATAATTTATCTCAAGTAGTTTTATAACAAGACTGATTTCGAAAATTTCCATTTCATTAGATGTTTTCACAATATTAAAGTTCCACTGAAGTAACACAGTTGCTTTAGATGTACGCTGGCACTATTGATGACAATGCTAATGAGACCAATTTACTGATTTCAGAAGGCAACCCAATCACCGGTGACGGCTACAAATCGATGAACGGCCAGATCAACACGGTGACGTCAATAAACGGCAATAGCCTAATGGGCAACAGTAACCGCGTGCCGCCCGGTGGCTACTCCTCCGGCCTCTGGTAGACAACACTCACTACTGACGACCCACCTACACCACTCACGCGGCGAAAGACCAGACTAACAGTCGCCGCCCAGCTATCGGCATGCGCAAACCGACTTTATTCTAAAGCCAGTGCTTCATTCGGGGACACCTCGAAAGTTAAACGAACCTGCGTAGACAACACCCGAGGCTCTATTTATTTTAGGCCTCAGATCGAGGCAGACTGAACCTGTCTTCCTCAATCTGAGGCACACCTCGAATGAAGCAACAGCTTTAAAATACATTTAACGGTACATAATGAAAAATGCATTTAGTTCACTTCATATTATTTCTTTAATCAACTAAATTTGGGTAGTATTGGCAAATTCTAGTAACGCCATTAAATTAATGCACACGTAAATTGCAACGTCCATTAAATCTTGGAAGGGTATATGTTGTTAATTACATCCTTAGCCTATCCCAGTAACAGTTTCATCATTTGAATAATTTAGAATAGATTATAGATATTTTTGTAATAGTAATATTCGATAGTTATTGTAAAGTTAATAGATTCGCGACGTAGAACTTGGAAATGATAATCAGCGAACTGTAGAATCGCGCGATCTAACAATATCATTGTCAGTTTCATTTATTATCTCCAAGTTGTGCGTTGAATTATCTTAAGAACTTGAAATTGTACTCTTTCACACTTGTACGAATATGTTAACCCATTGATATTGTGAATTTAGGAGTGAGGAAACGTATCAGCAATATACCAAAACGATTAGTGCCTTGATCGAAGACGAGGGAAATTCTGTAAGAATTGATGTACATTTGTGTAGGCGTAACGTACTAAGCAAGAAGATTTATGATTATATATCTATATTTCGCGGTATAGAAATAGTAATCATGCGGCACTCCAGCTAATTGATACAAGTAAATTAACATAAACTTTAATATTCGACACTGCATAAGGGTCTTTAATCTCATTTGTTGAATTTCATTATCTTAATATTTAAATAGAGGGATTTATAAAATGCATTTATTTAAACTTTTTATACGAGTTTATTTTATTTTTTAGTTTATTTTCTACTCGTTTAGAAATTAATGTAATGACGGATTTGAATTTTTGGTAGATTATCTGTTAACATGATCAGATGATCACGTATGTGTGCATGAATTATGATGTATCTATGCGTAGCGGTGTCCTGTGACGACCTGATAGAGGTAGCGTAGGCATATCATCTTTGTAAAAACTTTTTAATATTATCTAACATGAATTGCATAATCACTGGCCTAATTGTAACAAATGTTAATAGATAATAACCATTATTTCAAAATAAAGTTTTTTTATTAATTATTTTATTGTTGTTTTTATTTGTATTTTAGCCTCATAACTAAGCAGACCTATCGTTAGATTATAAATTGGACATAAAAGTGTTTAGGTAATAATAACCATCTGTCTTCGAAATACAAATAGCATGATTCCACTTCAAGATCGCATTTGAAAAATCAGAAAGACATTTCTTCAACAGTTTATAAAATAATTTATTGCTTATAAATAATATCAGTTATAAATATCATAAGTTTGTACATAATATCAATCTACTATATTGTCATATTGTCTATACCTTATCAACAATATCTTCTTGAATTTCTTTCTTCTCTGCTTTTGTTACATTATTGCCCCTGCGTTCTTTAGGATCGGGCAGATTGGCTGGTGATTCTATCTCAAATGTCACTGGCCCGTCATTCTGTATGCTCACCTGCATGTAGGCTGCGAACTTGCCGTCTGAAACAAGGATATCATCATGGTCAGCCTCCTTTTGTTCACGGCTGGACATAGTCGTCTTCAAAGGCAATACTGTCTTGACATTTACTGCCTTTACTTGGAGCCCGTGACCAGGGCCACCACCACCATCTTCAGGAGGGCCCGAAGAACCTACAATTTCTAAGACGGAAACACACCGAACCCACGTTGCGTGGCAACGGTTCAATTCCGGCGCGAAGCAAATCTTTGTGTGGTCCACAAACTGTTGTTTCGGATCTGGATGTCATGTGTATGTGAACTTGTATGTTTATAAATGCACCCGCGATGCAGGAGAAAATCTTAGTGGGGTGCAAAGTTAAATAAAGAAACATTCCAAAAGAAAGGATCCTTTTGGAATCTTTCTTTGCAATGCATTATTGTATCTCTAGAGCCCCAGGGTAGTCTCAGACGGCCCTGTTCAAAGGCATGATATAGTAATTATACCTAGGGAGGTGTTTCACACCATTTACCAAAGGCTTAGTGTTATTGGATTCGTATAAAGTTTCCAATAAGAACCTGTAGCGATACGAAGTATGTTCCGATACGTGATTGAAACATAATAAAAAAATATACCTTTTACTTTATCTGGTTTGTAAGCATCCTTTAACATTTGCAAGAAGTTTTCATAGAATTCCTTAGATTTGTCGCCTGGCATCGCATGGTGGAAGTCTGGTTTTGTACCCTGCAAGAAAATAAACAATAATGATCAACATTTTTATAATTATGTGGACTGCTTAGTTGGTTGAGTGGTTGCAAGTACGACTTCCGGTAGAGGGATCTTGGGTTCCATTCCAGGGTTGTTATGTATTTTTAGCTATAAGAAAATTCTTGGTTCCTAATAGCATGGTACCTAAAGGCAAAACAAATTACTATTGAATTTGTGTGAATAAAGATCCACTTAATAAATATATAAAAATTGTTCTCACCTTCCAAGTATTGTACAAAGTAAACTGGCTAACACAGAGAATTTCAAAATCTCTTTCTAATACATTTTTCTTCCATCTCTTCTCTGATTCATCATCAAATAACTTAATGCTTAGTAATTTCCGTACACTGGAATAAAATTTATAAAAATAAATTGATTCTGATGATGATGACAATGAAATTAAAATTTTAAAATAAAAATCTCATCTTTTATATAGGTACACTTAACTAGAAATATTTGAATTTCCATTTGACTGCCTCGTTGGCCGAGTGGTCGCAAGTGCGACTGCCAGGCAAGGGATCTCGGGTTCGATTACCGGGTCAGACAAAGTATTACTGGGTTTTAAAAAATTCTCAGTAGTAGCATGGAGTCTGGAATTGTGCTCAGAATATAGCAATAGGCTCACCCAATATTACATGGTACTCATAACACAAATAGTGAAAAGTGGGTGTTACATTGTACAGTAGCATAATGTGCACCTCTGCCTACCCCTTTGGGGATAAAAGGCACCATGTTATGATGTTATTTCAATTTCCAATCTACAGTGTATAAAGAAACTAGATGGTTCAGTAAATTTTTAATACCTATTAAGTAATTGTTTTAAAAATGGTAATTAGCTCTGGTGAATATAGAGCAATGATACTATAGTACAGGGTTTCCTAAACTAGCGAATTTTTTGTGAGCTTTGTCTGTAAAATGATATAGGTACTAAACAACCATTCTATAATTTACTTTTCATATTGGTAATGGTTTAATATCCTACAAGTGGGTCCTGAGTAGAGGACTTCATTTAATCACATGTAAAAGACTATTTCTTAAACATCTATGAGATAATATATTTGTCTGTATTATCCATATGGCATTTACACAATCAAAGTCATATGTTTAGCCAATTTTTAAACCTGTTGTTAAATTTTTTGAGTTACAATTTGTTACTTAAATAAAAATGTAACTTACATGTATTCCATATCCTTTTTACTATCAGTATTTGATATTCCTATAAAGACACACATTCCTTGCCCAATACTGCTTATTACTTCATCATTTACTGTAAACAAAAATTCAAAACATTATGTTCAATTTCATGAAAAACAACGCAAATATTTTAAATGTTGAAATTAGACAGAGTAGTCTTTAGTAGGTGATGTGTTTAGATATACCAAAGATTGTATTAAAGTAAGTTTTAAGTTATATTTTTATAATCTAATGCAATGTTGATCTAAATATAACCTCAAACAATATTGTGCATAAACTCACCGGTAACTTTAGCGTTCATTACACGTTGAATAAGGGCTTTCATTTTTATACTGTTTACTCACAATTATCTAATATTACTAATTACTTACTAATAAATAAGAACGCTATGTAAATAAATAGATTCGATTATACGATAATACCCAAAAATGACAGTGATTGTGTCACTAAACTGACATTTTGCACCGTTTATTTTTTGTTATGCTACTCGATACGAGATGGCGCTTTTTTATGTTTTATTTCTGTTTGCTTTTAAGTACAAGAGATGGTGTCAGTTTAGCCTTTTAATGAATTCAGGTAACAAGTTCATTACTCCCAAAAGTTACTTGAAAATTATCGTTCAAAGTTCCGATGAAACAATCGATTTATCATATAGGACAGACATATATCTATAGAAATCGTTTATATGGCACATGGTGTGGTTGAAAATGTCACTGGCCTAAAGTCCGAGGTCGACTTTCTAAGTTTATTGCCACAGAACCGTTTGTAAATACTGAAAACAATTAATTTTTAATTACACACCTTGTTTACAATAACGTGATGTTTTTAATGGTATTTACGTAGTTTGTTGCCTGCTTTTATGTTAATGCGTCAATTGCTTACTGAAAAAATATGAAATTGAATACCTAGGTACACATTGTCTATTGTACCTAAGTATTAAGCGTGTAATATTAATAATATGTTTTTACTGACGAATAGTTCGAATATCTCCTTCGCCTACACCTAAACGACCCACTGACCAAAATTTGTGAGCATTATTAGGTATCTATTAGGGAACAATTTTATTATTGCTGATTCCCAAGATGGAAAATATGGCAATAACTAATTTTAGATTTTTAAATTATCTTGCAGTAATGAGTACTGAACACTAACCACAAAGGAGATTATTTCGGCTCCATACATTTTTGGGGATTTTCTGAATGTGCCGGGCATGGAAAAGAAATGGTAGGTAGGTACGTATCGTTAGATCTAGCCAATTGGAGCAATAGTTAATATGACATAAACGTTGTAGGATCCAAGATGAAGAAGTGATACCAGATTGAAGATTCATAATTTTCATACATGTATTGCTTTCTAAAGGTGCTAGGAAACGCAGATCTAACGAGACGTACCTTTTTTTCGTTGGCCGAACTACACTATCAGAATAGGCAAAAAAATGATCTGTTTTCTCCCCTAACTAAAACCTGTACGGCTAAAAACGACCTAGTCCTGTCAATTACTTAATTTATTTTCATAGTGCAAAAACCAGCCAGAAATAAATTAAGTTACCTATTTTAATAGGTCAGGTAGGTAGGTAACTTGATTCATCACGGAAAATGGAACAAGAGTCATCGCTATGTTATGTCCAGATTTTTTTAAATTCTTCATTAATAACGAATTAGTGACGTTTGTAGGTAAATATTTAATCAAGCTGTATAATACTGCATTAACAATAAATCTTCACAATGGAGTCAGTAATTTAGTGTTTAGGTATTAAAAATATGTTTTATTTATTGAATATGGTATACCTAATTAATATTTATATCTGTGTCGGTGTAGTCAAGGGTAAAGCGGCAGACACCTACACTTACAAGTGCTAGTGCTACACGCATGCGCAAGGTCATTCCCCAGGGCGTTGCGCCCGCGCATACAAGCACACTTTACAAAAGGTTTAGTTTATTGCAGCTGTGTATTGACGCAGAGTAGAATGCAGACTATTGGAACGAGTTTTTAACAAATGAGCTCTCTGAAAATAATTATTTAAAACAATTAAACGCCGTGGGGGTCACCAGCAACTACGTTAGCGGCGGATTTACCTTCAACAGTTTTCTATTGGCAGTCAAACCCTTAACAAAACGATAATTTAACTATAGTTGGCTACCTACCTAAGTTTCTGTTACGCTTTTCATCTAAACTGCTGAGTCGATTGTGATGCGATGTGGCGGCTGTTGTTGATAAACTGCATCATCATAAGAGAAAATAAATCATACAATATTTGTAACAATAGGTATTCAAAATGTTCATCCTTGACTTAAATGACTCATAACAATTTTAAACTTGAAAGTTAATAAAGAAACAAACGATGAGCAAGATTTTCTAAACCTTGTAGGTATTGGGTAATAACAATGAATAAATCTATTTATAACTATATTGTTTTCATGAATTATACCTTCTGTAATTATTTATTCAGTGGTTTTAGGTCAAGTGCGTGTGCGCATGTCACGTGCTGGAGCCACGTGCGCGCCGCAACGAGCCCGAATACCGGGCAGTGGGCGTGACTACTCGTAGCAACAATTTAGTTTGAAGCATCCTGCTTTAGTTAGGGACTTTCGGATGTCGATTGTTTCAGCAACTTAAAATGTAATTTGGATACGTTTTAGTACCTATTTATGTTATTTCCCCGAAAGGAGGAGGGTAGAGATAGTGTTAACTGCCTTTATATACCTCTATTGCTGTGAAGGTACCTATGGAGGTTTTGCTTCATGTTTTTATAGTTTTGTGCGGGCAATTTGTCCTTCACTAGGTACTTCTTAGTGGATTTCCTTATTGAGAACCTCATCGAACCCCACCATATTTTACTTTATAATGCATTCAACCTTAGTATCGAGTCTTTCCTCAGAGCGAGATATCAAAAAGAATAGATAAAAAGGTCCTCCTCCTTTCGATATTTTTTTAATCCAATGGTGCATCCACACTTAGCATGAGCCACTCTTGCGTCGCATTCATTCCTTGTCACTCCTATTTCCCATAAATCCTAATAAACCTACCTCTATGAATTAATTTCCACCTGACTACCTGTTTCTTTTATACTTAGCTAAAAACTTTAAGCCTCAACAACAATTATATTGTTTGTTATTAAAAACATAAAATGATGATTCATCACTGATAACTTTAAAATTGCTGTTTCACTTGTGTAGCCTGATGACACGAAACATGATATCAGCACAATAACCTGCACAGTTTCGTCAGTGTATTTCCTGCGATATGATATTTATTGTAGTGTCGTCTACTTTTTATTATTTAAGACAAAGAAATGAAGTGTGGGAAAGCCATGCTTCGGCACGAATGGGCCGGCTCGACCGGAGTGATACCACGGCCTCACATAAAACCGACGTGAAACAACGCTTGCGTTGTGTTTCATCGTGTGAGTGAGGTTACCGGAGGCCCAATTAACCCCCTCCCGAATCCCCGAATCCTTCACAATCCTCAAATACCCAATTCCCAAAAGGCCGGTAATGAACTTGTAACGCCTTGGTGTTTCGAGTATCCATGGTCAGTGCCGATTGCTTTCCAACAAGTGATCCGTCTGCTCGTTTACTATAAAAAAAATGAAACATATATTTTTTCCCAATATTGAATACAATTAGTGAAATTAAAACTTATCTTTTTGATCTGTCGAGTGAGTTGTCTCAATTCCAAGTGAGTCATTCGTGGTCATAGGGTATTATAGGAAATTGCAAGCCAACAATAACTCTAACCAAAGAATCAAACCCCACATTTTTGACAATCAGACCAAACACAACACAAAATTAAACAAAAACAAATCTAGCCACAACAACAAACCCTAACAATCTCCATTAAAACTAAATCTATAAAAAACACTTAGCTAAACTAAGCGAAAACAATGAAGTACCAAGTACCAAGGCCGGAGCAGTAAAGTTTGCAACAATAGCGTGGACTATGTCACATGGCAGGCAATGCATGGATCGCGTAACGGATTGTGTAACAGCTCTAAGGAATATTTCACCACTTTCGGGTTTCCTTTATTACGTATTTGTTGGATGTTCGATAAAGTTAAAATCGACTTTAATAAGTGGAAGATTTTTCGCTTGTTCTTTTTAGAGAAGCGTGTTTGACACTAGAATTCTTTTTGTGTCATGGGTTCACAAAAACAAAAGTTTGTGAATCAAAATTTCCACCCATGACAGACGAAATGGTAATCGTAGCCCAGTCTTTGTAAGCTTTCACAATAGCCGCGGGAATACCAGCGGTGGTGACTTATTCAATTCTGCCAAGTGCCATCACCTTAACGTCAATAGTCAACAGATATATCCCTTACATATTTAGGACGGAATCAATTTAAAAACATCTTCAACGACATTATTCGCGTGATATGCGTGCAAGACGCATCGTAATTAGTAGACAGTTAGATACGCCTTACCGCATGACACACTTACTGAGAATACATAGGCAATTAGGTACGTATCTAAGAATGTCTAGGCATTGTCTCGTTCGTTACATAGAAACAGTATACTTACCTATAGTTATACGTAGTAGGTATTTGCAATACCACGAGATCTACCGTGAGTAACGTCTGCATAGTACCTATACAAATTATTATGTACCGTTATACGAGTAAGAGGATATATGGGAATATGAGGGGCCTTAACCCAGAGCTAATAGAAATTTATTGTATGGTGAATCATCAGCTACATTATACAAATTTAACAGATAAATAGTAACTTTGAGCCACTTACAGGTTCACACAAATAGTGACTAAATAAATAACAGCTAAGACAGAAATAAAATTATAAATATAATATATCAATAACAATTAAAATAAAATAAATAATTATTTAAAAAAAAAATAGTTAAAAATAAACAAATATGTATAACTTAAGATACAAAAATACTGTTTCTGATTTAGATAAAATCAGGCAGAATGTCGGAGTCAGTCAAAAATACATAACAGGAGCTAATTAATTTGAGAAATTAATAACTTATCACGCAGTTTACATTGAATACTGCTAATTAGTTTATTGTTGCAATGTTTTTGAACAAAGTTTTTGACTCACCGAACATAATATTAGAATTACGAGGAAAAGATGCAAATTACCCGTGATGGAATTGCAAAGTGTTTTTTTAAACGTTGCCCCACATTAGGATTTTCTCTTGTGTCATGGGTGCGGTTACAAACATACAAGTCCACATACATATGACGCACATATGAGTTGTACCGTGCAGGAATCGAATCCGCGGCACGCTGCGCGGCAGTTAATTGCCCAATACCCAGCCAACTGATTCTAAGCGCAAGTCCCAGATTGAAAAATAAAAAGAATCAGTTAGTCCTGTTAGTACCTTATAATGCATTATTGGCTGCCTAACCTTTTCATCTACAATCTGTACTAGTAACACACCTCACGAGCCTGAGATGATAAGTGGTCATCGTTACATACC